CACTTTCCGAGGGAGTTCCCCTTCAAAGACGCTGCCGAGCAACATGATGGGCTCCTCGGTGGGGTCCCAGTTCTTCATCGAGTACCCAGCGGGAATCCTGTGCCGCTTGGCATCTTCGGCAGTGGCCGTGCGAGACGCGGGGACCGGGGCCTTTGCTTCTTGTGCATGCTGGCCGAGGGCCGGGCGGTCTGGGGCCGTTGAGGCATCGAGGTGGAGCTGCGGCGGGAGTGGCCAGCGGGCGGCGGCGGCCTGCGGTCGGGCTCGAACCGTGCCGACGCAAACCCAGCCTCTCTGTCGAAGATTGGACCGCCCTGTGCATAGTAGCCGTAATCAGTTCCATGCCCACCAGCGTTGACTGTGAAGTGATCCTTGTACGGTCTCGGTCGCGACCGTCCCGGCAGCACAAAGGTTTGGCCGCCGAGATCGATGAACTCGTCCTCGTCGGATTCCCCGTGGGAGACCGAGGCTGGATGGTAGGAAAAAGAGGAGCGCCGCTCGCGCGAGGGGCGCGGCGGACCCGAAAAACTTGGCTTGCGTGGCCGCGAGACACTCACATTGACAGTGGCGTACTGGCCGTCGCTCGTGTACCGCGGTGAGAAGGACGGACCACGAGGGCTAGCATAGCCGGTGTTGCTGTTGTTGATGCCACTGGTGCTCCCGTTGCGGAAGTGAGCTCGCGTCGCGGGCCGTTGCGGTGTTGCGCCGTAGTAGTAGCTGGGTCCCCGTGGCGATGGGGTCGGGGACGGGCTGGGAAACTTCTTCTCGTCGTAGATGTACTCCTGGGCGGGTGTGGACCCGTAGGGGGAGTAGGCGCCGGCCATGATATCTGGCTCTTGCGATGACCTCCGAGACATCCAAACTCTTGTTTTCTTCAACTCCAAATACAATTATGTCGTAAACCCTTCTGCCTTTGCGCGGGGTGGATAGTGGCGATCTTGCTCAGTTCAAAATCCCTAGTGGTTCGCGCCTGTGTCGTTGCGCGGGAGAAAGTGACACCCGTCACCTTGGTCTGTGGTCGGTTGGAAGAGGAGAGGAAAACCGTCTTCTGATTGCAAACATGTCAAGGATATGGTGTTCTTATCTCCAGCTGGAGAACGGGGAGGGCACCAAAGCCGGGGAACGACTTTGATGGCTGCTTCTGGAAGGATCTGGACTCGTCGATGGTCCAGACTTCAGGTTCGGTGGGGAGCAGTCGTCGGGATCGAGCAGTGCTAGGAGTTTATGAAGTGCATTGGCAGAAGCCAAAGTTGGCAGGAAATGGGAATTTGGGAGGTTGGCGCCGCTTTTAAAACTCAGCCAAGGTGTGCGCACCAGATGCAATCAGGGTGGGAGGGGCACCAAGGAACGGCACGGGGCGGAACGTGAAAAATGGCTTTGGATATCTCTGTCTGTGAAATTTTGGACGGAATTGATGGAGGGGCGTGCCTCTAGTCGTTTGTTCCTTGATCCCTGCTGGTTGGTGTGGCATTAGTCACTCCTTCCAGACCTTGTCAGCAAGCATGAGGAAGTCACCACACCCCTCTACCCAGTTCCAGCCGCTTCTGTTTGCACTGTGCATGGGCGGGCCGTTTTTCGGCCAATGAATTCCGGTGCGTTTCGGTCGCGCGCCTACACGCCGTTTGTGATTCCTCTCTCCTTTTCTGGCACGGGATAGCGATGAGCCACAACAGTGTGAGTCTTACGAATAGGGTCTGCGATGATCTTGTTTCAATGATTCACTCAACAATCCTCTCCCCTGGTACCTCTGCCTGGTTCAGTTGCGCGGTGCAATCTTGCGAACGGGAAGTCCTCCCGGATTTGCGGTGGACAAAAAGCCTCTGACGGGCTAAGCGAAATTTGGTTCAGGTCAGGACTGGGAAGTTCCAGCTTTCGGGCAGGGGATCTCTTCAAAAACCAACGGCCCGTGAAAAATTTTCTCGTCCTTCATGGGCAAGCGACCGGGGCTTGGAACTTGGCGGCGATCAAAGCGAGGGCCGGTGAGCAGGCTGTTGATGACCCGCGGCAAGAGCCAAACACCGCAGCCCGACCGACCTAGGAATGACTCCATCGTCTTAGAAGAGAGGGGCGATGAGTCGAGCGACGGGGAGCGACTTGTTTCCCCAAGGTCGCCGAGCCGTCTCGGCCAGCTTCACGGAAGTCTCGGGAAGAGGCTTGCTCGCAGCTGTGCAGTGGCAACTAGTTATAGTCAGTTTCCGTAGAAAGAAGTTGTGGTCCGAGTCAAACTGAATGAAGTTCTGCATCGTAATCTGTCCTCAGGTGGCATGGGTGGCTTGACTTCAATGCGACGAGGCACCTCCCTGACTGGGTATGACAACAGTCATTGGACTATCCCGCCGATTGGTGTTCAAAAGGCAATAACCGAAGAGATAGGGTGGAAGAGAAAGTCGCCGCCAGCTCGAGGTTTAACTGAAGACTCGAGAGTTCCGCCATTGAGACTGGTCTGATGGCAAAGATGGGATTGATAGCGTCGCGAAGAGCTTGCAGGGGGTGGTGTGGTGGTGTGGTTCACGGATCACCCGGATAGTTCGCGGAGGCGGGATTGCGGATTGAGAGGTGAGCGAAGGCGACAGCGAGCTGACGTTAGCGCCATCCCAACAGAGTTATCCCCTGCAATATTCTCAAGTTCGACCTCCTTCTGTGCAGAATTTCAAAACCTGAAATCTTTGGCTTCTCCTATAGCCGTTTTCCATCAGGAGAAAGGGCCCCTCACCAAACCGGTGATCGGTGTGCGGGGCGGTGGACTGCGACTGCCGTCCACGCATAACTATGGAGTTGCCAGAGATATTCTCCAAGAAGCCGTCATGCGGCCGTGGGATGCCACCGTTCTAGACTCTCCCATTAATTTTTTCTGGCATAGTAGAATCCGGGGTTGCCAAGCGCTTTGCGCATCCACTGCGATATCCGTCCTGTTGGCCGCTTGCTCTGATCTCAGCTGCAGCGTCGTTGCGGATCCTCCGTTCACCTCAATATGCGCAAGCGGTTCGCGCTCGCGTGTCCCGGATGCACGAACTTGCAGGCCGTCGAGGCGGGGGTTACAGCAGCACTCGCATGCCAGCCCCTGAGCCAATGACAACGGAAGACATCTCGACCATTTCGTCACTCTCGTCCCGCTTCCCGATATGGTTGACACTCGAACCACAAGAGGCATTTTATGAGGACATTTGTGTAATTGACGCAGTTCCACCTTTCTGCTCCCGAGGGAGTTAACAATCTTCGACTAAAGCTCACTTGAGCCTCCTGAATCCCGGGCTTTAAAAAAGCTGCGTTTCGTAACTTCTTCCCACCAGTTCGCCCCTTTCGAATCGGGTCCTTCCTCGATCGTCGACCGAAATCTTGCAGGCGCAACGCGCCTTCCCAACCATCGCAGAACAACATACCGACCTATCCACACGACTTTTCGCCACGTTTTCCGTTTATTTACAAGGTCTGTACATCTTTCTTTCCCGCAACTTCATTATTAACGAGGCCTTCCGTCTCGTTCTGTCACCACCCTTACCAGACTTCCCGGATGAAGTTCCCTTCGCTTGTGTCTTCGCGATGGCTGGGCTCATGATATCCAGCTCTCCCGGCCTCTCACCGTGTCTTCGGCTGAACCGACCGTCGGTGTGGGCTTCTCCATACAGTATTGCGACACCGTCAACCGAGTCGGCCCGTGGTGAGCGAAAACCACATTACGCCCACTGCCGCGGGTCAATCCATCAAACGAGTTTTGCTGAAAGAGGCATCGACCGTCATGCAGGAGGCAGGATACAATCACACACGGGCTCATCCCCCGGGCTCTCCCAGTGGGGCACACACCTTTTCTCACCTCTCAACTCGGACCTTGGCTGGCTTGGCAACTCTCATTCCCTTGGTCGAGCCTGGGGTGTGGTTTAATTTTTTTCTAGAACACCCACCCCTACCTCGCGAGTCGCTGGCCGTCCCGATAACGAGCTTTCTCGGCTCTGCTTTACCCCCGGGCCACCTTTCCGCTTTGATCAATTTTCCCCTTTCGGCTCACCGTCACGAAAAATTTTCTTGTTGCCAATGCGATTGTCATTTTGTTCAAGGAGGCAGAAGAAATGTTGGGGATGAGGACGCTCCCCATCTGGCTCTGTCAACCGTGAGTCACAAAAAACGGGCGAGTGTCATGTATGGCGCATGCTTTGGTGCCCTAATGGCTCGCCTGGGCCGGTCGTCTGCTGCGTTGATGTCCAATATGAGCAGGCTGTTTTGATCCTGACCACTGGATGGCCAATGGGTGGAGGCCGGCAGGCTCTGGATGCAGCGTTCTCGGCCCCCGATTGGAGTGGCCGGACGGTTGTCTGGCGGGGACGCACCAATACCGCCCTCCTCCTCCTCGCCCAGGGCCCACATGCTCCAAGGTGAAGCCATGCTCCCCTGCAACTCCCCTCATAGACGTCAAAAATAGGCAACTTCCAAGCGGATATGGGACAAATCAACCGACCTTTCTCCCTGTTTGGCCTTCACCGACACTCTCCTCAGCCTTGAGAGGGCGCCAGACGTGCATAGGTTGGTGCAGATGTTCATGCCGGGAGGGGCGGTGGGAGGAGGTGCGCGGCAGCATCCCATACGTCGGGCAAGTCCCGACCCTGGACAGGGCCTCTGACGTCGCTGCATTGCGCACAAAATTTTCGACAAAATGCGAAATTGACGATATCTGTGTCCAATACCAGCCACGGCCGAGGGCGGCTGCAGAAGATGAGGGAAGAGGCAGGAAAGGTGACCTCACCGGAAACCGGGGGGGATGCGAAATGCTGGGCGGGTGCGGCCATATCCAAGGTTCCGCGAGGGCCCCTTTCAAGACCTCAGAGATACGACTCAACGGCTGCCTCGACAGGCCGCCCCTCGTACCGGAAGGAGGGGCAGCCAAAACAAAACAAGCCGCGACAACCGTTCCGGCAAAACACGTGAACAACGCCTCCTCTTCTCAAGTCGGCCGAGGCCGCCGCTCGTGGAGATGGAGGCCGTTGAGGTACGACAAACGGTCTCACCGTGTGGAATGGCTGCCCTGAAGGCCTACCGGACCAGTCCAAAGGAGTGGGTACGCTCAACTCTCCCCGCTGAGATGCGCACTCCCAGTCAGATGGTCCGGCATCACCGCCCAATACCAGCGCGCAAAAAGCCCAGTTGGCGCCCTCAACCTCAAGTCGGAACCAATGAAAACAAGTCGCAAACGGGACGACAAACGAGACGGCAAAGGATTCGTCAGCGGTGAGGGATGGAGGCGACATTTGGCCCTCTTCCGAAAGCACATGCCAGGGAACAAGGAGTGTACAGCGAGCTTCCGGGTGGGCAACTTTACCTCCAGAATGTTGAGCCCAATGGAGCGAGGGGGCCGCCAAGCCCGCTGTAAACTCCGATGGATGATGCAGTGCAGCTGAGCAAGGAAAAGAAAGCGGGATTTGAGGTTCTCGAATCTCAATTGCCTCGAGCCGTCAACCACTTACGCGCCATGAGTCGCACTTTGCATTACGCCTTTCCGGTTTCCCCTTTTTTCCATGCGCGCACTAGCGCATCAACGAGGCCGCTCGGTGTCACGCAGGAGAGTGCATCGCAGCGCAGAAGGGCCCAATGCACAAGCAAGAAGCAAAGACCGAGAGTGGCAAGCTGCCAAGAGCTGACTTCTCTGGTCGAAGACGAACGACAAACCAGGGGCAGCCATGACCTCCCGCAAGTGGGCCCCTTGGCGAGGGTTCGGGGAATTTAGCAGCCAGCTGGAGATGGCCTGCATGCAAGCCTCATTGATCAGGCTCAACTCGGACAAGCCCCGATCCCGAGCGTTTGGTTCCCATCTTCTTCTGGGCGAGCCACATGGTGGCTCGAGCGACGTCACTGCTCGGTCCCCTGTCGCTCTGTTTCCCACGCGCCACCCAGGATAAGCTCCACATGCCGAACCGGCAGCATCCCTGATTTGACAACCAGTTCATCTGATCTTTTCAAGAACCGATTCGCCTTGTGGTGAGCCACACGGACCGTTGGGGCTGTGCTTCCCGATGCACGGGCACGGTCCACCATCTTTCTTCCAACCTCGATCTTGGATTAGGCGCAATTTTGGGATTTTGTTGCCCAACCTTCTCGAAACAAACGACGGCACCCCTCGGACGGAAGCATTCGGTAAACTGAGGGAATTATTCGTCGGCTCCAAAGGAAGCTGCGTCAGTCGGTTCCATTCATCCTCTTTTATTTTTTACCAGTTTTAACGACACCCCCGGTCTCCCAAATACAATGCATGTGGTGTGTGGTGTGTCCGCTCGAAGGGAGAGATCGGGGCTCGGAGCTCGGGGACTCTGAAGCGCGCGTTAGGCCGCAATAGATTTACCAGCCCTGTGGCTGGGGCCGGGGCTTTCCCTTTCTCACCTCATTGCCATGACTACCGTTGACTCACCGTCTCAGTTCTTGCCGCCAGTATGGTCACGGGGTCTCAGTTTGCAGATGCCTCGGTTCTGGTCTTGATTGAAGTCGCCGCGGGTTTGCGCCATCACGGAGGCGGATTTTCATTCACCATGACAACGACTCAAAATGTCAACCACTAAACAACACTCATCCATCAAGTTTTTGCAACCATCCCGGCAGCCCATCCATCCCAGCCTCACGGGCACCCCCACCCCTGGTCGACCCGACCGACCGCCAGCCCTACCTATCGTGACTCACACGCCTCCCGTGCGTCTTGCGACCCAGGGCCGATATCCCGCACGACACCGCCTCGTCTTCTCGACCGCCGATTCCCTTTGGCACCCTGGCTATCTGGTGCCGCCCATCTCTTGAGTCTGGGCCTCTCGGCGGTGTGCGTGATGCGTGCGTGCTTGTGTGCGTTGTGTTGTTCACCTTATCCCCCGCCTGCCATTCGCCGTATGCTTCCTTTTCCGGTCGCCCGTCGTCGGGGGTGGGTTGGAACACGGCTGCGACTGGCACACTGGCATTAGCATTGGCACTGGCAGGATGCCATCACCCACGCCCCGCCAAACCTTCGCCACTCTGCCGTGGGCTGTTGACGTCTTGCTGTTCTCCCGGAAGCCCGGGCTGGAGCCGGCTGCGCCGGCGCCGGTTACGTTGCCGATTCTCCTTGCGTCCACTCCTGTCAGAGAAGGAAGGGGGAATGTCCCGGTGTTGAACCGAGCTGGCTTGTTGTCTGGCTGGGCTGGCGGTGGGTGTGGTGATGATGGTGATGGGGCATGGGGGTAACCAGGAAACAACCGTTCAGAGAGCAGGAGGGGCAGGAGGGGGGGATGGAAAAAGGGCGTCCATCCATCAGACCTGACCTTGACCTGTCTTTGGTTGTCTGGCCCGATGCCTTGCGACCCAACGATGACGGAGCCCGCTCGTTCCTGCAGACAGTGTTCCAGTGTTAGCCTCTTCCACTTTTTTTTTTTTTTTTTTTTTTCCTTCGGTGCGTTCCTTTTGAGTACTGATCTGCACTGCGGCAAGTGTCGGTGTGGTGCCGAGAGGTCCTCCCTGCCGTTGCTTGGGCTGGCTGTCCCCAAGGTCAACCACTCCCGCTGGACGGCACTCTCGCTGTGGGTGACGGTGCGGCCTATCATCGGGGTTCTCTTTCACCCTCACCTGATTTGGGAACTTTGGGACTGTTCGATGTCATGCCTAGGAAGAGACGTCATCCAGTCACGGGCTAGTTGCCTCACTTTTGGTGGAAGTCAGTCATCTTAACGGACCGCTTGGCCACTCACTCCAGTGGATGTGCCGGGTGGCTTGTTTCCCCCCGGGGTCTGCACAGCATGGGCTGCGCCTGGGCCAGCCCTCCCCTCTCCCGACGTGATATCCTCACGCCCTTGAGGAAGGTTGGACTTGCGGCTTGACTCTTGTCTTGTCAGGCTCGGAGGTCACTGAGGGTTGGTTCAGCACCGTGTCGGGGCACTGTAGGCTTGGTTTTCTCCTTTTCTCGAAGGTCAGTGTTGGACCTTTGTGCTTGCTTTCCGGTGATAGGCTGGCCTTGTTTCACAAGCTGCAGAGGCAACCTGTCACGGGACTCGGATGAGGACCTATGCCATTGTCGGGAGGTCGGATTAAACTTGGTGATAGCGGTACAGGGCCATCCCTGGACCTTTTGTGTAAGGTTGGGGTTTGGTGCTATTACAGGGCTGGGGCCGGGGAAACGATGCGTCAGACGGCTGTTGCCTCTTGTCTGTGTGTGGCGATGTTCACGTCAGCTCTCAGGGGAAAGGGGTTTTGGTGTGATACGTCTGAGACGGAATTGTTGACCTTCGCCGGTAGGGGTTGAGGATATTAGCCGCGTCTATCAATTTGTCCGTCCGTTGCGATGACTCACTTTGTATATTCCCCCAGTCATCATGGCATTCTCGACCTTGGTTGCCTCCGCTCGTGTGCTCAATTGTCCTTTCCCCTCAAATGTAGTGAGGCCTCCCAACTTGTTCCATTGCCTCAACATCTTGACCCTTATCGCCTCAGACAAAGTGCGCGTCCTCTCATACCTCTCCAATCGAGGTGACATCCCCCACGAGACGGACCGCAGATGGCGACCGACATACCCCGACGCGACTGGGTCGAACCCGTGACAGGCAGCTTCTTCGGCTTGGTGCACTTGCAAGCCCTGTTTCGGAGCTATGGGGTATGTCCATTGGCTTTGTGTGACTTGAGATGCGCGTCAGGCAGTGGGGGCTGCCGGTAGCCTAGTCAGTTTTGCCTGGGGTTGTTGCCTCACGACATGTCCTTGCTTAGAGATCCTTGTCGGGTCTTGTTGGGGGTCTTGAAGGTCGTGCGGGGAGGTTGGTAGCGTATGGATTTGGGTCTTGGGGGGGGGTTGTGAGGAAGAGCCGCATGGTTGTGGCACCGCCGGGGTAGGTGGTGCGGCGTGGGTTTGAGGGTTGTGGTGGCTTGGCCTTGATGCTGGTGAGGTCTTAGGTTAATGGCTTTTGGTGGTTGTTGGGCTGAGGATGGTTGGTAGGTAGGTAGGTCGGTGTGAGGAGAAGCATGAGATAGGTAAACACTTGAGGTGATGGTTGTGACATCTAGCCCGAACTACAAAACTTCCTTGGCCATCCTCGACGACGATCGTCGGGTCTCGAAGTAGCTTTCGACGTCATCGACTCCATTCGCCACTTGGGCAGCTTCCATGTTACACACGTCTAGCTAGATCTGGCTTTCTCCCGGTGTCGTTGCACAAAACCGGTATCCTCGATATCACACCGGTGGGGACTCAGAGTGGTCCTGGTTTACCGCTGCCCTTCTTGTTCACCTTGCCAATCGGTTGACGAGGAGTGTTTTGGATATCCCGGCCATCTTGTTTGGATACAATACTTGGTGATGAATCCCCGAGCAGAAGTTTTGGGGGGCAAGAGTAAGCCTGAGAAGTAGCCAACCTCCCGAAGGCTCTTCTATTTGGTAAAAGAGACGAGGAAGGCAAAACAACGGACAAGACAGCCAGACAAATACAACGGAAGAAAGCAAAAGACAAAACAAAACCTGAGAAAAGACTGCGAACCCGGCAAAGTCTTTCTCAACCATACGTCTCGGGTAAGCCACCGGAGGATATATGGTGTGAGATTCGCGCTTCCGGCCCGAACTTGCGTACGTTTTCCCACAATCCGTCTTGGCTACTGCAAGTATGGCGTACGCCGATAGGATGTGGTCGCTGGACCTGGAATAGAGAGGTGGTCCGCTAGTAAACGCCACATCAGCTCCCGTAATGAAAGCATAACGTTGCCGTCGGCCGATAACCTGGTCAACGTGCCCGCTGCTCTGAACTATGCGGTTGTCAAGTTGTAAGAGGCCTTGATGGACTCGTGCCCAGGTATTATCGCGCTTGACGAGATACGCCAGATTCAGCAAGGGGGAAGCGAACGAGGTGGCTACCACCCGTATCGACAGAGCATAACCTCATCGGGGTGATGGAAGGGAAGGCTCCATGGTAAGCTCCGGTCTCAACCTCAAAAAGGTAGAAAGATGGCGGGCGTTGGCCTCGAGAATGAAGAAAGGGGAACGAGATGTGAATACGTGGGTAGACAGGTACTTGGTCAGTGGGGAGGGGATTGAGGCTACTGTGGAATCTGGAAGAAAGACTAGGGTTCAACCCCTCAAATATCTCATAACCGCAACCCAGCATCCCGGCGCTTTTGATGACAAGATGAGCGTATCATACACGAATATTGTCCTGGCATACAAATTCCGTTATTTTACATGTTCCCTTCTTTCGTGACCCTATACCCCTATCTCCGCCTTGCTACCCCCACCCCGCAAGCGTGTTATAAAACGCCACCCCCTCTCCACCGTTGGTGTATCATCGTTCAAATTTGAAGTAGAGAACACCGAGTTAGTTCGAAGGGTGAGAACCTGCCTGGTGAATGAAACGTAGATACTGTTAGCTCCGGAATCAAAGAATCGGCAAAACACAAGTTCAAGTCATTTTGCTCCTCAGCTAGCAACCTCGAGTGCTTGGAAGATGAGTCCATCAACCAAGCGGGAGGTAGGGCTCCCAGTAGAGTGGCCATGGCCACTTGTCGAGAGTCTCTTGTGCGTCATTGTGTGAGGGTTGACCCAACCATGCCCTCGCTGGCTACACGCGAGTGCTGTATCATCATAGGAGCTGGTACCTCGTCGGTGAAAAAAAAGCCACCCCTATCCGTGCCTGTGACAGGTTGACCAAGCCCAAGGCAGTAGCTCCTCAGTAAGTCCTGGCTTTATCTCCGGCGACCCAATGGCCCGGAAAGCCTTCAATCCCTGTCAGGCCTCTCGGCCATCTAGGAACCGCTGTACGACGCAAGGGACTGACCTCGTGCCACTTGCAGGGGTCGTACAAGGACTTATTCATCATTGAAGTTTAGTGGTCAAGACCGCAGAATCAAGGAAAAGAAGGAAAGAAGGGGGGGAGCAAAGATAAACAAAAAGGAGTAAACAAAAAAAAGCATACACAGCTGGGTCCAGACCACGCTCCTTCTCCAACTGTGCTGACTGGGAGTAAAAGAAAAGAAAAAGGGGTCGGGGGAGGGAAGGAAAGAAGTGAGTGGAATGGCAGAGTGGGTTGCTCCTCAGAATGTCTGCAGCCTCTGATGCCCATGGTGAGCGAGATCGAGAGGCTGAGAAGTTCTCGTCATTGGCACCGCTGGGCGCCTCGAAGAATGCGTACGCCTTCGCGATGGAGTTACCCAGGCTCCTCACTACTTGTGGCTGTACCGTTGTGATCATCACCGGAGCTCTGCCATGAAGAAAAGTAAAATTCCCTGCTCAAGAGGCTAGGAAGGCTTTCCAAGCTGGGGAGTCGATGAGGTAAGGAAGGGGGAGTGTCTCGCATTTCAACCGATGGGTGTCGAACGCGAGATTGACAACCGATGATTTGTTGTGGCAAGCCCAGTTGAAAAACTTTTGAACTGGGTGATGGGCGGGAAACAGGAGAGTGCTGGGCTTCCTGTCCGTGAGACGCAGTGCAAATCACGATCCTATGTGTGCGCGGTCTGATGTCGGCAGACCCGGTCGGTCGGTTTGACCAGGGCACCCCCGCCAATATTGAGCATGTTGGACCCGCGTTGGCGGGGATTTAGGGCAAAACCTTATCTCAACGATGACCTTGTCAATCGACGACGTCTCTTGAATAATATGGTCGGCATGGGGTGGAACGGCTTGGTGATACCACTGGGGCCCTTTGCGCGAGACCTAGAAAAGGTTCCTGTAAATATGAAATCATTAGCTGCTGGCTTCACACACGGCAAATACAAAGGAAGTACTGTGAGATAGCTTCAGGAATTGCGACTTACTTGTGGTAGATGTGACTGGTTCACAGCACAAAACACAGTCATGCGACCCTGAAAGAAAGACAGCTTGGTCAGTAAAGCATTATTGTTGGTGTGAAAGAAAGATTTCGGAATGCAACGTAAGAGAATCAGAAAAATGTATAGTGTGATCATTTGCCCTAGGGCTCACTTCAAGCCGATGGATGGTAATGTAGTTCATCATGTTGTGTGAAGAGAAGAGTAAAAAGGAATGGAGGACTTACCGAAGAGGATGGTGTGCCTGTATTGATTGCGGTCACAGGCCGTGTCGCGTCACGTCATAGTCGCTGGTCGTGGTCGCTGCCAGGTGAACAATGGGGGCCAAAGAGTTGCTCTAGTATGAAAACCGCGATGAGTGGAAAGGGAAAAGAAAAATTGGTGAAAAATGTGTGTTGACGATAAGAAAATGCAAAGAAGATGAAGAAAAAAGGAGGATAGAGGAGAAGGTGGAGGAGAAGATGGAGGAAAAAGAGAGCATCGATTTATGGAAAACGTTCGCCACCAAATAGAGAGTAAAAGAAGCGATGGTATTGTAAAGGAAGACCTGAGCAAACAAGAGGAGTAACAAGAATAAAAAATTATGGGAAGTAGTGGATGTGGGAGGATATGGGAAGAAGATGGAGGAAGAAGAGGAACGAGAATAAATAGAGGTGGGAAGATGTAGGAAGATGGAGAAGGAGCCTGGCTGGGGCTGCAGGAAATTTGAACAAGAAGAGTGGAGGAACCAGGTGGGAAGAGGAAGCGTGGGATAGCAAGAGTGGGAAGAAGAGGTGGGGATTTTATACCTAGTTGTGCCCGCCGCCTTGCCGGGGAAACTCTGGAAAGGCTTGAATGATTAGGGCAAGGGCCTGAGGACTGTATAGAGTCGAAGATGAGAAAGAACGGGGGGCGCCACAAAGTTGCAAAAAAGCTGACAACATGTGGTTGCCTGGGGCCACCTACCTGGCAAGTCGGAAGATGCCTTGTTGGTGTGACAACCGATAGGTGCTCCCGCCTTGGTTGTGGGCGAGAACAACTGAAGCCGTACTGAGCAGAAAACGGCGGCTTAATAGCAGGGGCCAAAAAGGGAAGAGACGGGGAAAGACGAAGGATGGTTTAGAGTAACAGTCGCATGCTACGCAGAGGCTGTGTACCTAAGTAACATTCTGTTGTCTACTCTCCATGTGTGATTACACTGGAATGCACTCGCCACTTACGAGCATAGTGCCGCCACAACTCGAGAGTTCAACCATTAATGCTTTGAGGTCTAGCATTGCTTTTCAAATGAAGGCCATTTAGAAGCATCGAGCTTCAGATTGTCCATGGAACAACAAATGGTGGGGTTTCCGAAGGCGGCAGTTTGTTGTTCGGTACTACCGCTCTCCAGTTGACGGCTAACTATATCTTTCTCAGTTCCAAAAACGGAAAACAACAATGTTGTGTCTCTTTGATACGCATGTTCTGGTTGTTATCCCGGACACCGAAGGCGTACCTCAGGTACCTCGGCAGGTAAAGGGGTGGGTAAGGCATGGTGGTCAATATCGCGGTCCTCGGCAGGGTGACATTCTTGTCGCAGAAATTAGTCAACCAATTAACTAACTAATTATCCAGTCTCTAGCAGCAGATGCCACCGCTACTCCCTACTGTGCCTTTAATTTGACTGGCTGAAGCGCGATCGATTTATTACGCGAGGAACGACAAAGTTAACAATGTAAAGGACGCGAGTTCCCACAACCATCGACCGAGGGAGAAACATCCAGGCCGGAACCACGGCATACTTGGAAGAGATTATCGGGCTCTTCGCTCTTCAACTCACTTTGGGCAAGAAAAGCACGACAGACACATTCAAGAGTCCATACTGCAAGTCACCGGGAGCCGCACCGCAATTGAATGAATACAAGGAGGGGAAGAACTGATTGGGTTTTATATCAAAAAGCCACAAAAGTACAACGTTCGTACACGGAACACAAATAACAAGCGGAGCGAAGGGGGGTTCCTTTGGGACGGGGACAAAGAGCGTAATTCCAGAACAGCGATAAGGATTTGAGGTCTTCTTTGACGAGATTGTCCAAAGACAACAGCTTGTCTAATTAACCACATTGTTTACTGAATAGGAGCCCGCGGCTATATAACACTACCTTGGCAATATACTGGCACACTCCCTCGACAACCAAACAATCCTCACAACCGGTCGACCCTCCCGTTACATCCACCAAACCCACCCACTACTTTCATTAACACCATGGACACAATAAAGATAAGCGATATTACAAACACAATGATCCACAACAAACCCATCCTTGCGCCCATCGTGTGGGACGACACGCCTCTACAAGAGTCCGCCAACGGAGAAGCCAACGGAGAAGCCATCGAAGGATACGAATCCTCCAGCCTCCCTCCCCCCTCACCCTGTCCGCTCTTCTCCACGCCCTCCACCCCCTCCATCACCGACACCACCACCACCGCTCCCACCGCCCCAACAACCCCCCAACCAACTCCCCCCGCCTCTTCGGCCTGCTCACAACCGCGGGCTACCTCATCAACGACTTCAACACCCGCGCCCACCTCCTGACCGCCACCAAACCCACCCACGCCCGCCTCCGCCAGCAGCAGCGCCGCTTCCTGGCGACGCTGAACCTAGACCGGCCCGCTGCCGTCGAGTTCGCGCCCGCGCGAATGAGGGCGAAATCCGAGGAGGCGCGCCTGATGAGGGCCGCGACGCACTATCGGATAGGGCTGTGGGGAGTGGGAGAGCTTTTTCAGGGGATCGTGATGCATTGCGGGGTGTTTCGTGGGGTGTTCATGAGGGAGCCCGAGACTGGGGAGGATGAAGAGGACGCTGGCGATGATAAGAACGCTGGTAATGAGGATATGGTGGTGGGTGTGGGCGAAATGATTGACGGTATGCGGCAGACTGGGAGAGTGATCTCGGATGTGGAGACGTGGAAGAGGGACAACCTGGTGTTCCCTGAGGAGATTTGGTGCGGGCGGAGGAGACTAGGGGACGAGTGGAGATTTGGTGCAAGCTGCCCGGGAGAAAGGACGAGAGAGACACGGAACGGCTTTTTAAGTAGATGTGCTCGTCAATCTTGTGTAGGAATACTGCACAGGAGTGATATCCGAATAAACATCTAGATATTGATTTCGACTGGTGTAGCTTGAATGGGGGCGTGTGATATTGTTTTGGTGTTTCTCCGTTAGTTACTATTTGTGCTAGAATATCCACATATGCGTGTCAAACGTGTGCTATATCTATGGGTTCCATCTACATCTTAAACCCTATTTCCTAATCATGTACAGAGTTGCGGATGTCTCGAATAAAGGTCAGATATCAAGGGGCCGCGTAAACCGGACAGCTGACACAAAATATTGCAGAGGAGCTCTGTTGGCTGATGCTCAACCATGACGTGGGGCAGAAGTTTACTAGATACAGTGAAAATGTAAAACGCGGGCCTGACAAAATAGCAGCACAAATAATCCGGAGGCCCCGTTGCCCATGTTTTCATTCATCCCGCTTCGACAGCACTAAACCGTTACGGCAACCCAAGACAAACACTAACCCACATATATCTCTCTTAACCAATTCTTGACCAACATCAATTCCTTCGTTTTGCGAGAACCAGATTTGCTACTATGCCAAACCCCGACCGCCCCGGGGCTCAGGACGAGCCCAACCGACTGGACGTTCTCGCAGAGATTGCCAGCCAGCAGAAGCGCCTCCCTGTCCCAAAGAAGGACTACGATAATTTGGCCCTTCTGACCAAAGCCGCAAGCAAGGCGCTCGATCAAGACAAGTCCGACAAGGTCGCCAACAAGAAGGCCAGCAAAAGTGTCCACGGCATCAAATCCGACACCGGCAGTACCGAGACCGTCTTTCCTGATCTCCCCGACGACGACGATGCTACCATCGTGGAATTCCCGCTGGAGTAGTCCAAGGTCCCCAATCTCCCCGTCCGCACAACAACATAGCTGGATCGGAACCCGAAGAATGACGCCCAAGAGAAGGCGAAGCCGATGGAGAGGATGAGGCTGGGCAGAGACCTGAGGGTAGTCTGAGGTGGGCGGAGAAGAACGGTTGGAACAGGACATGAGTTATTCCTGAAGTACTGGCGTTTTGGGGGTCATCTGGAATGGGTTGGTTTCTTCCCTGGATCGGATTGCATGGATCATTCGGATAGATTCAATGGACATGGCGAGGATACAAATCTTCAAGCACTTGATTGATGAATGGGATATGATACCGGTGAATACTACACTGCTACAAGCCTACAAGCGCCGACGTGACTACCAAGGTGTAATTGTGAATGATCCCGTACTTCGGCTCCAAGTAACACATCGATGTGTAAGTGGCAGTGTACAGACAACAAGGTACCCCCACGCCCTCCCCGTTCCACCAACCACTGCCCATTCATTGGGCGCCGTTCCCCGCTTCCAACACTCAAACCCTCAACACCAAAGGCATGCTCTTCTGGATTACCGTTTGTAAATCTACCTTTTATTGACCAGACATCGGCCTCGTCGGCTACCGCAGTAACTGATCTTCACAATGGATGAACGCGCCAAAATACTCGTCTCTCTCTCGTGCGCCAACCCGACCGTCAGCTACTGGGCAAGACCCGCCCGACCATCTCGCCGACCATCGCAGCACACTCGATCTCCCGAAATTTGCTGACACAGTCATCATCGGCAGCGGCATCACCGGGGCTGCGGTAGCATGGGGGCTGCTGCAGGCCCGAACTCGGGTAGCATCTCATGCTCGAGGCGCGACAAGCTTGTTCTGGCGCGACGGGACGGAACGGTATGTACCTGGCACTCACTCCAACATCTAACTCATGATCTCCAGTCCTCTATACTTTTCACCTACCTTCCTCATCACCCCCTCCCACACAACCCCGCC